GGCAGTGGGGGGAAATCTTCGCGCTGGTACAGCGCCGGCGGCGAATCCTCCTGCGGCCACGCGTACAGCGACGGGTCTGTGAGTCGCGACGGCTGATGGTGAGGGACCGGGTGGAGATGCGGCAACGGGTGGCACGGCTGCTGCTGGAGCTGTTGCGGTGACGGTGACCTCGCCGGCGGCGGCTGGTACGGTGACGGCAGACGAAGCTCCCCCACTGACAGCCCCCGGTTCTGCCCGTCCTCGGGGCACATCTCGCAGCCCGGCTCCTCGGGGCTCCACCGCTGCTCCTGGTAAAACCCCGCGGCAAAGTCCGGCTCCTCTTCGCCGGGGGAGTATTCAACCTTGAGCTCTTGCTCCTGGAGTGTCTGCTGGTCCTGCTGGGAGTGGGGCTCCGGCTGCTGGTGCTCGGGGTAGACAGGCTGGTAATGTGGCTGGAGGCTGCCCTCTGCTGGCGGTTTGTGGGCAGGGCACGGCTGGGCGCCGTGAGGCTGAGCTACGCCCTCTGCTGGGGCAGGCAGTGGGGTCCCTCCCGCCTCACCGCCGCCCCCTGTCTGCGGGAGCTGGAGCCTGCAGTACCACACCAGGTTCTCCAGAAAGGTAAACGTGTCCATGGAGGGAACTTGAACAAAGAGAAGACACCGAGCGGGTTAATGCCATCGGAGCAATGGCCGCAGCTGAATGATATGATATTTCTCTTAACAGCAAAAAAAAAAGAAGACAACTTTGAACGTGCAACTGGTTTACAAAGGGCTCTCTCTCTCTGTGGGGTGAGGGTGGGGGCGAGGGGCTGGGCTGAGTGTGGGGCTGGGGAGGGGAGAGGGGGAGCAGGGACGGTGATGGGTCTCAGTGTGTTTAGCACCGCTCTGTCACGCTCGCTCTGAAGTTGTGCTTTGAGGGAAACGGTGAGGAGAAGAGGAGATAAACGAATGGGTGGGAAATGTGAAGGTCCCAGGGTGGGGATGTGTGTGTGGGGGGGGGGGGGGGGGGGGAGAGGGGCGGGAGGGCTGCGTGGGGGGGTAAGAAGTGAAAGAGGACAGCCTAACCCCAACCCACCCCCCCCCTAACCCACCATCATTTCAAACACGCATACTTTATTCCTGGCAAATCTCAGTCCTCTCCAGGTGGCCTGACACTAAGATCACTCTGCACTCCCGTTACATCCTCACTGGCTCCCGTTACATCCCCGAATGGATCCCGTTACACTCTCCACCTGATCCATTGCCCAGTCACACTCCGATCCCATTAAGACCCAGGTCACACAGTCTGTATACATTGCTGCCCGTTCTGTAACGGGGTAGAATGGAACTCAAAGCGGCAATTTCATCACACGGGGGGGGGGGGGGGGGGGGATACGCGGTGACGGGAGGAGATCTGACACGAGCACAACACAAACCTATTCATCTGCTTGAGAGTCTCCAAATCAAATCCCTGACCGTTTCCTCACACGGCTGGCAATTTCACTGTGTGGTACGGAGCAAAGCGGAGCAGGGCACACACGCTACCTCTCCAGGCAACCAGCCGCCTGCTGGTGATGGGTCACGTCCTGTGCCCCCGTGAACCCCGGCCCTACTCATGTTTCTCTCCAAAGGCAGGCAATCACCATACAAGGCTACGCCGAGCGGTTATCATCCCGTGGCTTTCATGCCAATCGCCGGCATATGTTGGGACGTCCTCCCGACGTGAGAGGCTCCAGACACATGTGATTTGTGGTTGTTTGTTTTTTGCTGTGTTGGGAGGTCCCAAGTGGACCTGACAGCAGTGAGTAGAGCGTGTCCTGGCCAACTACCAACAGCCAACACCGCAAGCTAACCTTTTACCACGGACTCGCAACCGGTATAAAAACAGTGAACCTACAGGAGAGAACCTCACTCCCCTCCACAACACAGCCTAGTTACTGACTCACTTGCTCTACAAGCACCGAGGCTGATACCAGGGTCACACACACACACACGTTGCACACCGATCCCACTGACCTGTAGCCATGTTCTGTGTGTGTGTGCGTGTGTGTGTGTCAGCGATAAGTATCCGTGTGGGTGAGCAGGGGTGAGGGAGGGGCACGGGAAACTCGTGAATTGAAACTCTTGGATCGGAAGATGACAATTTAATTATCTTTATGATTAACTCTTGCTTTTAAAACCACACACACTCGGCCACTCACACACACACACACACACACACACACACACACACAGACACCCTGACACCCGCTCACACTAACCGATGCGCATACCCACACACCCACGACAGCGACACACTCACAACACTTTAATGCCGTTAAAGAGGGGAAAGTATAATCTCTTACCTGTCTGTGTGGCCTCCCACGTCAGTGCTGTGGGACTGGGGAGCAGGACCTCAGTGCCCGGGGTTGGCTCTCTCCGTGCTCTATGTCCTCGGTTTATGGTTTGCTAGTTTGGTGCCAGGAAAACACCACTGGCAGCACATGACGACGGCACGTCCGAAACGTGCCATCAGGTTACAGACCCTCAGTCCCGCCCTCAGCTTCCACACGTCACACGTCACCAGATAAACCCTCTGTGGAACCCCCCGTCCCCCCTCCGAGCCCTCCGTCCCCCGAGGTACGGGTTCACTAAGTTGATCGTCCACAAGGCAAGGGCAGACAGACAGTCACATGTCTCACCCAACCAGAAAAGCAACAGGAGAAGTTGTGGTTCTAATCTTTAAACCCTTTGTATCTGATAACTGATAATCTCAGGGAAGCAAAGCCCTCTCAACCTCCCCCCTCCACCCACACCCCCAAGAGTTTCATGACCGTGTTTGCACAAAATTGATTTAATATATAATAAATGATCCTTGCATTTGACACAGCGCCCTATCAAGTCGTCGAGATGTCTCAAAGCGCTTCACGTAATTTACTGTAAAGTGTGTTTTGTGGGCGAGACTCCGCAGCCAGTTGCGCACAGCAGCGTCCCACAAACAGTCGTGGAGTTGGTGACCAACTTTATTTGGGGGATTGTTGGCCAGTGAGGGGCCACAGTCACCAGGAGAGAGAAACTCCCTTCTCTTTTCGAATAGCGCCGCGGGATCCTTTAACGTCCAGCCCAACAGGCAGACGGGACCGCGGCTTAATGTCTCATCAGAAGGACGACACCTCCGACAATGCCACACGCCCCAGCACTGGTGTGTCACCTTAGATTATATGATTCCAAGTCCTGACGTTGGGGCTCGAACCCACAACCTTCTGACTCAGAGCGAGAGCACTACCAACGCGCCAAGCTGACACGCGGCTGGCACAGTCAGCACCAGGGAAGAGCAGACATAGCGACAAGGTACGGAGGAAGGAACTAGGTCAAGAGGGTGTGAGCCAGTGGCCAAGAACAAACCCACCCCCCCCCCCCCCCCACTCAGCCGGCCAGGAAAAAGTCCCAGGACTGGGCCGAGCCGAGCCAGGCAGCAACGCAATTCGTCTACTCAACCCACCCTAATAAAGCAGCCTCGGCGCCCCGCCAGCCACTGGCTCAGCCGCTCGCTTGCTCCCTCTCACTCGTATCCTTTCAGCATGAAACCCGCCTCGGTCCGGCTCAGTCCTGGGGCTGAGTCGCTGCAGGGACGAGAACTCAGGGAAACACAGGACACAGGAGATCGCATTTACACGCCATGGGTTGGCCACCACTGGGTTACAGTGACCACTGTTCAACAGACATTGAACAACCCCTCCCCACACTGGTAATAAAGACACTGTCTGTCCTAGGTCTTAAACACAAATTCACAGCCAAGAGTGGAGACTCTTAAGCACGGCGAAGGGTTCCCACGCAGGTCAGACAGAAAAACATCTACGCCATGTACACACAGCAGCTCTCGCACAGTAAAACACAGCCTTCCTCCAGGGCGAGGGCTGTCAACGTCAACAGCCTGCGTTTATATTGCGCCCCTCACGTAGGGCAGCGTCCCAGAGCGCTCAATCTCAGTGGTGGACCACGATGCCGAGTCGGGGGGAGGTGACCGCGGGCACGGTCGAGGAGGAAGGTCTTCGGGTCTGACCTGAAGATGGGGAAGGAAGGGGCGAGGCGGAGGGAGAGAGGAAGTTTCGGGGCGTGGTGGCGGAAAGCGTGGGTGAATCTTGGTGTTGATCGAGTAACGTAAGGAATGGCTGGGCTGGAAAGTTAGCAGCGAGAGAGAGACAGAGAGAGAGAGAGGGGAGGGGGGGGGACTCTGTCATTCCATCCTCTCGCAACCCTTAGCCTGAAAAATAACCCATGTCCAACAGCGCTACCTGCTGACAGGAATTGCCACTGAACCACACACCAACAACAACAACAACTTGTCACCACTGCACAACTACTGCCAACCTGCGCCTAATACTCTCCAGAACTAGGTAAGCAGGATGCATCCCTCCAGGTATAGAGAGAGAGAGAGAGAGAGAGAGAGCGCACATCCCATTCCAACAATCTATCTCTGGGATTTCCATGTGTGGGTGGAAGGCACGGAGTTTTCAGTTTCATTTGGAGACTCTTAAGCAACGGTGATGGGTTTCCGTGGGTGTCAGTCACCCGGTTGAGCGCAAAAAAAAATCCAGTGACCCAGAGACATCGGCAGCACTGACCCCCCTTCCCTTTAGGAAACACAAGCTCAGGGCATCGCCCGAAACACACAGACACAAAACTAACAAGATCGTGTCTGTCCGGTGATTAACTCGACTTGGCAATGAATCATACTCGTCTTTGGAGCCCGTCACCAAAAACCCTGCTCTCACCATCACCTGCCATCAACCCTCCCACCATCCCCGGCCTTGCTCCACCCCCTGGCACAGCCAACCCCCGGTACTGTACTGCCCCCCCCACCCCCCCGGTATTGCCCCAACCCCAGCACCACTCCCACCCCACCCTCACCACACATCCAGCCATCACCACCCTCCCACCAGATGTTCCAGTGCTGGCTTCGAACAGAGCCTAGATGTAAATGTCAAGCTGCCAAGGCACCCAGGCGAGCAGACACAGACTTAAGAGCGGGTACACAAGTGGGCACTCGGAGCGGGCACTTACCTGGCAGGTTGGCCTTGAGCCGGTCCAGCTCCTCCTGAAGCTGCCGGACCTTCTCCTGCAGGACCAGGCAGTTGGCGCAGTAGGAGGCGGTCTGGCCATGTGCCACCTCCCCCTCAGCGAGGGCACTGCCCACCCTCACGCACGCCCTCTCCGGGGACAGAGGTTCCAACTCCTCCTCCTCCTCGGTGGCCTGAGGGAACCCAGTGTCCAATCCCTTGGGAAAATACAAGCTCAAGTGTTTCCCGTTGCCCTTCTGGAGGCACCTCAAATCGGGCTCAGTCTTGCTGCTGGGCGGTGCGGGGAGGTTGGCGTATGAGGAGGTCCCTGGTCTGGTGAATGAGCCCCCCTCGTGTTTCAGCCTCTGCCGGGGGGCGTGAGGCCCGTCCACCGCGGAGGGATACTTGGCCTGGATGGCAGTGGTCAGTCTATTGACATCCTGTTCCTGTCCAGTGCGGCTTGCAGACTGAGGCTTTTGCGGAGCTGGAGATGAGGTAGGTTGGTGAAGGCTGCCCGGCTGTTTGAGGGGATGCAGGTGGTGGTAAGGGACCTGGGCTTTCTCTCTGGCGCTGTCTCTCAACAAGTCGAGGCTCTTACACAGCAGGTCAACCTTCGTCTTCTTGGGACTGGGGCTAAATTCGCCATCTCTGCTGGCTCGTTTCCTGGTCTTGTTGGGAGCGAACCTATCAGGCCTCTCGCCATCTTCCTGACTGAGAATCCCCGGAGTCCGTCCTGTCCCAACGCTGCCAGGAGGCTGACGTCCTAGGCTAGGCTTGGGGCACTCTGGTTCCGCTGAAATGGTACAGTACATGGTTGCATATTACTGGCAAGGTATAGGGTTTGTGGCTATAAAAACACTGAGACACACAGCAATGAGTTACCAGGAAACATGCTCACAGACACATTTATTGGACGTCCTACAGGGATGAGCAGCTATCCTGCCTCAGTTTACTAGAACAAGGTAACAACAACAGTCATTGGATTACAGAGTGTTCACAAAGTCCTGTTAACCCCCTGTTTTACAATGATTTTTTATTTTCTGTTGCAGATGAATGGAGTGGAATAATCTCTGACACCAATAACTTCCTCCTCAGAGACTCCATCCATGTTACGCAAGATGTGCCCATCGCGATGGATCATTATCTGGCATGAAAATGATGGCGCTCACACACACACACACACACTGATGCACTCACACTCACTCAATACTCCCACACACACACACACCAATCCTCTGGACTTCTCAATACAGTTAAACACTTGTACTGAATACAGTTAAGTACCTCTAAATACAATGATCATCATTCTTCCACATGTTTCAGTTGTTGGTCAGTGCACTGTAGAAAAAAACATGGGGGTAACAGGACTTTGTGAACACTCTGTACATTACGTACAACGCCTAAAACGTCAGAACGTCTCAAAGCGCTTCACAGATTGCTATGAAGTGTAGTGACTTGTAGGCGAACGCAGCAGCCAATTTGCGCACCACAACGTCCCACAAACAGCCGTGAAGCGAATGGCCCAGCTTTGCCTGAAGAATTGCCGACCAGGACACCGATAGGAACTCCCTTCTCTTTTCCAACAGTGCTGAGGGATCTCTTAACCCTCCCCCGCAGATGGGCGCTGGGGTTAACATCTCCCCCTGAAGGGCGTGGGGTGCTGGTCGCTGAGGGTGGGTGTGCGATGCAGAAACAGGCACAGAGTTTATTAGAAGATGAACGGTCTTGGCTGCCGTTGATGGGCTTCTAACGCTGTCCGGTTCAATGTGACACACAGAGGCTCACGAGGGTAGGTTTGTTCCATCTTTGGTGCTGGAGGGCGTCATTGGAGGATGGTGCGTGTCTGGATAACAGCTGCCGCTGCCCCACAAAGTGGTTTCACATCACATTTCAATGCAGGTCGCAGGGAGACAGCTCAATTGTAGTCACTGCCACACACCGGGGAGGTGAGCAATGTGGGACGTGACATGATAATTATCACCAATGACAACCAGCACACCACACGTACCGCATGCTCCCCAGCAACACCCCAACCTCCCCAAACCTCAAGGAGGATGAAAGAAAGAAATTGATGATGGCAAAACGTAATGATTCTGGCAGGTTAGGACAAGGAATAATCCTGAACTTCCTCACTCATTTGGTGACCTTAATTCCTTCCATTTTCTCACTAAATACTCCCCACCTCCCAAACCCACCGTCCCACCTTCAAGTCTGGTTTCCTTTCTCTAACCAGCAAACTGCACTTCTCCTCCATTCAACAACGCCCCCTCCTTTATTGCCCCCGGTCCTAATGATTTCAAATTGAATTGCATTTGCCCAGTTTCTTAAAAAAAAATCCCAGTCTCACCCAGTACGATTGGACATTGTCTCTGGGTATTTTCTCGGTCTCTCAGTGAGCATCACCCGATACACAGAGATCTCACATTCTATTCCATTTGGCCAAAAAAGACCCTATAATGAACTGTGATAAGTGCGTCCTCACAAAACACCCTCTCAAAATGATCATTTCATGAAAACCAGTGGGAGTCAGCAGTTTACAACACCACACGCTGCTCACTTTATAATCCTTATATTATAATAATAACACCTTAATGTTGCATGACAGAAAGAAAAGGATCTTTTTCAACACAATGGTTCGGCTGATGAGAAGGCAAGGTGCAAGTCTCTGTCACCTTATCAATGGTCAGTTTGGCTCTGTATACACCCACCGATCACACAAACAGTGCAGCCAACTCTAGGGTCTAAAACTGCGTTCAGTGAGCAGGAGACACTGAGGACATGATATCTCAAACACAGGCCCCCAGCAACACCAACACCAACAAATTGCATTTATATAGCGTCCCTCACGCAGGGTAGTGTCCCAGAGCGCTTACAGACTCCAAACAGACCCCCACCCCCAAAACACAGACAAACAACCAAATACCATCAACGCAATGAATCGTGAACGGAAACAGATTTCACACATCATAAATAAAGAGCAAAGGGTTTTTTTTCAGTCTAAAATCTCAGCGGCTCAAAGACTGAAAACTAAGTCACACAGACATAGACATCTGGTCAGCCTGTCACAGGCCCGGCCCGGCCAGTGAGTGTGCTCAGGGTCGTTGCCGATTTAATAATAATAATCCTTTCATTTGATATCGCGCCTTATCACATAGTTGAGCCGTCTCAAAGCGCTTCACGGGATATACTGTAAAGTGTAGTGACTGTGTATTTTGTGGGTGAAACGTGGCAGCCGATTGCACAAGTGAAGTCCCACAAACAGTCGTGGATTGAGGGACCACATTTCCTTTTTTTGAGGGATTATTACCCCAGAAAAGCAATCCTCCAAGCGACTAACGACCAGATTCCTACTCACTGCTGGGTAAACGGATTTGACTGTTGTACAGTAATAATAATAATAATAATAATAATAATAATAATAATAATAATAATCCTTGCATTTGATATAGCGCTTTTCACGTCGGGAGGACGTCCCAAAGCGCTTCACAGAACACACTGTAAAGTGAATTGACTGTATATTTGTGGGCGAACGCGGCAGCCAATTGCGCACAGCAATGTCCCACAAACATTCGTAGATTGAAAATGACCAATTTATTATTGTTTTTGGTTTTGGAGGGATTATTATTAGGCTCTGTGTGGAGTAAGGAAACTTGCCCAAAGTTTGGCCCTCTGCCTGGAATTGAACTCAGGTCTCTCACTTGCAAAGCGAGTGCTCTAACCACTGAGCTACAGGACTCCACATTTATAGTAATAACATTTATAGAAATACAAACTCACGAGTGAGATCAACCACTTCTCTGGTCAAAATTCCCGAAAGAGATTGCCAACCCCCATTGCAGCACAGCACTACACACTGCAATATTCAGCACTGAACATGGGATCGGATCCAGCAACAACATTGGCTTTCTACAGCACCTTCACATGGGGTCATGTCTCAGAGATGCCTAAACACGAACACTGTGCGCCCCACGGGGTGGGGGGGAGGTTGGGAGTGTGTTATTTACACCCCAGCCGGTTTAGCGAGCTCTTGAAGGGTTAACTTTGGGGTTTCTTAACCCCTCCTATTCCATATTTCTAGTATCGATAATAATACTGTAATTTGTTACAGCGCCTTATCACTTGTTGAGACGTCTCAAAGCGCTTCACAAAATATACTGTAAAGTGGATTCACTGTGCATTTTGTGGGCGAAACGCGGCAGCCAATGGCACCCACAAACAGTCGTGGATTGAGTGACCAAATGCCAACGCTCTCCTCCTTCACGGCTCAGTCACTGACGTACACGGCCCCAGGCCGCACCCACTCGCCCTGGTCGGCACACAGAGAGAGGCAGCGACACACAGCCCTCTGTGAAAGCCCACGGCACTCGCTCGCTCACAGTCTGTTTAAACCAACAGTTGTATTAACTGTTCAATGAGTGATACCAAACAACGGCAATTCCTTCTTTCATTGACGCGCTCACTGTCTCGGCTCTGCGACCCTCGCTGGCACACCTCGGCTGTGCCTTTTCCTTATGCAACATTCTACAGTAAACCTCACATAAGTCCTATCAGTTGGGAGCAGTCATTCAATACGACTTGTGCAAAGTATGAGTTATGTCAAACTCGCATAGAATACAAAGCCTTGAACCAGGGCAGACGCATGTTTGAATTAAGACGATTGTACGATTTATGCAGATCAGACTTACGCCAGGTTTACTGTCTATCAATGGATTGATTGGCCGGTTGATTGAATGATCGACTGATCGATCGATTGGCAGACTGATTGCTCTCGCCGGCTCCGGTGCTGATCCAGTTCCGCTCTGAACGACACTGTTGTTCCGGCTTCAGTAACCTCTGAGGGATCCCTGCGAGTGCGGAGACCAACCCCCCTCCCACCCCCCTCAGCTTCTCCCCCACTGCTCACACCATAGTGAGAAACACAATCACTTGCATGGTATAAAAGTTGGCGTCAACATGGAAACATGAATACAAACTGAATATGATTCTCATCTCCTCAGTCCCTGATGGGAAACCTTAACCCAGCAAGTGCTTTTGTATATGACAATAACCGGAGTTAAACTGCTCCCCCCAACCCCACCAACATACACATATACTCTAATACACTCTGTTAATATTCCAAATATTATAATAATCCTGGCATTTGACATAGCGCCGTATCACGTCTTCGAGACGTCACAAAAGGCTTCACACAATATACTTTAGAGCCAATTGACTGTATAATTTGTGGGCGAAATGCGGCAGCCAATTGCACACAACAATGTCCCACAAACAGTTGTGGATCGAGTGACCAAATTATTACTTTTTTTAATATCTTGAAGGGATTATTACCACGGGAAAGCGATCCGCCAATCGACCAACAACTGGGTTCCTACGTACTGCTGGGCAAATAAAGGCGTGTGGAGTAAGGAAACTTGCCCAAAGTTTCTCCCTGCCCAGGAATCAAACCCAGGTCCTCTCGCTTGTGAGGCAGGTGCTCTAACCACTGAGCTACAGGACTCCATATATATATATATATATATATAAACACACACTGTGATCTCAAAGCATTTACAGTAATTACTATATATTTATAAAATACATATCGCAAAAATTCACACCGACTCTCCATTCCCAAGCAGTCCCAGCCTGTCCGTCAGCCGCTGACTCACCAGTGTGAAGGCTTCTGTCCACAGTGTCCTGTGTGCTGGCGTGAAGTCTCTTCATGTAATCCTCGCTGTACCAGACCCTCAGCCTCTCCCCGGGGTCCACGTCCCGACACACGCGGAAGTAAATCTGCTCCCCGTGCTGGAAAGCCATCAGGTTCTGCTCGTTCTCCTCCCGCGATATGATCACATACCTGGTGAGCACGACAACACGTCCTCATTAACACACGATCGGCCACCCCGCCTCCCCCAGCGCCACTATTCCACCCGATAATCTTCCCCTTCTTTCACCCACAAAATATACGGTCATTCCAATTTACGGTATATTCTGTGAAGCGCTTTCAGACGTCTCAACACTGTATCAAATGCGAGGATTATTATTATTATTCTTTCCTCCCACTTCCTCTCTCCTGCCATATAAATTATGGAATGAGATGAAAACAAAATAAACGTATAAAGGAAAAATAAACGGATAAATGTGACGCTCTCCTCCTTTAAAATAAAAGCTCTTCATTTGAGGAGCAAGGCTCTCATCAACTCCATCGGAGTCTCCCTCCATTCCTCCTTCCCTCCATCGCTCTGTCCTTCCATTGCTCTGCCCTGCTCTATCTCTCCGCCCCTCTGTATGAAAGGTGACAAAGCCACGTGCGATCAGTTGGAGATCCCAAACTCACCTCATCCAATTGGCTTTTGTCTCATCCGTGCCATCGATGGATTTGTAGGTGTTGTTCTTCCCGAGTATCTACACAACCAAAACACGTTCAAGCACCTCAAACAGCATAAGCCTGGCTCCCACCTCCTGCCCAGAATCAGCTGTTTACAGCAAGGGATTCTCTCCTCTTCCCCCCCCCCCACATCTCCCGAATCCAAGCCACCGCGCTGGGACTCCGAGCCCGCAATGCAGGCTGATGGTGCAGGCGCGGTGCAGGGCAGCCCTGCCACTACCCCAAGGGAAGAGACAGCGTGTGGCGTAGGGTTAGGCGGCACCAATCTACTCTCAAAGACAACATCATAAAATAACAGTGAGCTCAACACAGCTACAGTCACAGAAATTACTGTCAGGTGCAGTCACTGCTCCCACTGGCAGCCGGGGTGGGGGGGGAACCATCAATTTATCCGGGGGGCGGGGAATTCTCGGCCAAGACACGAGGAGAACGAAACTCCCTTCTCGTTGCTGCTAGTGCTGTGGGATCTTTAACGTCCACCCGAACAGGCAGACAGGACCTCAAGTTAACGTCTCGTCCAAAAGGCACTGATACACACTAGTGGGTGTACATACATGTGCGCATGTGCAGGCCTGTGTGGGCACGCCTCTGTGTGTCTGTGCATGTTCTAAGCATGAGAAGAACTTACCAGCCAGGAGAAGAAGCCGGATGACTGATCGGTCTGGCACACTTCTCCTTCGTACGGCCCGAATATTCTCCCGCGCGGAATCGCCACATCCAGGCAGCGGACGTCGATCTCCCCGCCCGGCTCCTTCACCACGGCCACGCCCGCAGGCACGCTCAGGGCCGCCCGGTCCAGCGTCCCCACCGGCACCGGCGTGTCAGCCACAAACACCGGGCAACCGTGAATGGAGCATTTCTCCTGGAAGTACTCCTGACAAGCTTCACAGACTGCACGGCAAGAGAGAGAATTGATGGTTTACACCAGAGCTCTCACTGGACACCAACATCCCCTCCCTCAAGAACTGTCTCAAGGCCCTCCTCTTCAACCACGCCTTTGGCCACCCTCCTACCCTTACCCTCCCTGCCCTCCACCCCTCCTGAGCCTAACCCCCAGCTCGGGTCCAAATCCCTGACTGTCCAGCGCCTTGGGAAGTCCTTCCGACGTGAAAGGCCCTGCGTAAATGTCATTTGCTGCTGCTGTTGCCTAAGGTTTCGCCCGGGATTCAAACCCGGGTCCCCGCGCTTGCAAATGTGTAGTGACTGCGTGTTTTGTGGGCGAGCGGTTGCGTCTGTGACAAACACTTACACCAGTAATCGCACTGGGAGTCGGGAGAGTGGCTCAGCGGCTCTTCTTCGCCTTTGACCTTTCCCAACTCTACCTGCATCTCTGTGCTGTACGTCTGTGTCTGGCTTGGTACGATGCTGACAAGAGGGAGAGAACAGGCAACGTCAGGCAGCGAGAGTCACCAGGCCGGCCGGCCGGTCGGCTCAACCCACAATCACCCAAAGCCTGGCAGCAACAAGGCCGTGCCCAACCTGGCCACATCCGTTTCCAATTGTGTGGGGAATGTTGCATCAAGCAAAGGGGACATTTACAATTACGGCTTGGGTGGCTTATAAGTGAGATCGGAAAAGTTCCCTGCACGTCAGACGGTTGCGAGAGAACATTGACCACACACAGAGAGAGAGAGAGAGAGAGAGACGGAGACAGAGCTACACACACACACACATACAGAAAGACAGATAGAGAGAAGGGAGAGAGACACATACAGACAGAGACACAGACAGACAGAGAGACACACACATACACACACACAGAGGCAGAGAGAGACCACACACATACACACACACATAGACACACAGATAGAGACTCACACACGGAGATCGAGACAGAGAGAAACACACACATATTACACAGAGCCACCAACACAGATGGACAGACAAAAATAGAGACAGACACAGACAGAGAGAGAGGGAGACACACGCACACACGCGCGCACACACACCGAGCCACACACACAAAGTCAGACACAAATAGAGAGACGCAGACACAGAAAGAGAGCGAGGGAGACACACACACTCACAGACACACACACGCACCCACAAAGTCTGAGGAGACCTTTACTTTGTTGCTCACCACTGCCCATATTTTGCTTCCTCTTCAGGCAGAACATTCTCGACCTTCACCTTCACGCTGGTTTGCCTGTGGTCAGATTGCACTCCAGTTTCTTTAGGCCAGTTTTCACTCATCTTATCTGCGAGAAACACCAACGTAGTTTTGTGGGGGATTTTTTTTTAGAAAAAGATATTTGAAGGGACGTAGATAAGACTGAAACAAGACGTGAGCGAGAGAAGGGTTCAGCAACAAGGTACGGTGGGTCACTCTGGGCTCTTCACAATGAGCACGGACGAACGGAGCTGAACTGGTCTTCAAGTACTTTGAATGGAACATAGCCCCGAGTCTTTCGAATGCCGAGAGCCATGAATAACATATGCGTAAGGTTTTACTCAGATCGTAATCCTGACAATGAAAAGGCATGAAATTAACAGGCAATTCTTGAGTGATTAAATGCTTTAGGAAGAGCTGGAGGGGAATGGGATTGAAGCTTCCAAGAACTGCTCTCTAGAGCGTAGTGGTTCCTGGGTTGATTGAGTCATCCACAGAACACAACAGCAGCAGCAATGACTTGCTATACAGTCCCCATCACATAGACTAGCGCCTCGGAGTGCTTCAAAGTAGCGGGGATCGGACTCCTAGCAAGGGAGAAGGGGAGGGGACTATAGGAGCGGGCGAAGGGGGCTTTCAGGTGGTATTTGGGACGAGGCAATGGGATAGACGCAGGGAGTTCCAGAGGGCGGGCGGGGGGGGGTGCAGTGACTGAAAGCATGACCACCGAGGTCAGGCCAGGTCAGGTTGGGTTTTACATCTCTTGATTTAGCCGTTTGTGAGTGTAAAAACAGCTGGTGCAGGAATCCTGATATTTCCGTGCCTTGCCCTTGCCCTTGCCCTGCCCTTGCCCTTCCCTTGCCCTTGCCCTTGCCAACTGTGCAACTCCAAAGCTGCTCGTCCCAGTCACCTCAGCGGCTAATCCAGGTAACTACAGTTCTGTCTCCCTCAGGTCCGAGTACACACACCCAAACCCTCAGGCTCCCCCAGGGTCTGACCTCCATCCTGTCACTGTTACTGTCGCTGCAGAACTAGAAGGAAACTTCCGGCAGCTGCTGGTTCCTGGCTTCACTTCCTGTTGCTTTCTTAAGCAGATCAAGGTTTCCTCTTCTCTCCGTCCACTGGTCACATGTGAATAGTCGGCTATGTTACTTTGCGTGGAACAGATACGTTGGTTTCCAGCACCTCGTTCCCCCAATTTCTCTGCTCGTCGGTCTCTTTCACAGTCTCACTGCCTCCGCTCCTCTCGCTCCATTACTATCCAACCCTCCCAACACCTTGCTTTCCTTGCTCAATGTTGGACTCCTGTAGCTCAGGTTAGAGCGCTCGCCTGGGTTTGATTCCCGGGCAGAGCAGAACCTTAGGCAAGCTTCCCTACTCCACACGCCTCTGTTTACCTGGCAGTAAGTAGGAACCCGGTTGTTAGTCGCTTGGCGACTAATCCCTTCAAAACATAATACTAATAATTTGGTCAATCAATCCACGACTGTTTGTGGGTCGCTGCTGTGTGCAATTGGCTGCAGCATTTCGCTCACAAAATATATAGTCAATTCACTTTACAGTATATTTTGTGAAGCACTTTGAGGCTTTTAAAAGACACGATAAGGCGCTATATCAAATGCAAGGATTGTTATAACATTCCCATTTCTCCCCACATCCCTTAACGTTCCAGAATGCAAAATTTATCCCACACCAGATTACCACCTACATAGTAGCGAGACTCCGCGTAAGCCCCTCTCTTACACTCACGACAAGAGCAATAAACTACTCGCATTTACACAACAGACTTCACACAGGATAGCGCTTCAGAGAGCATCTCAGTGGCCTATACGTGCAGTTTGATAGATTACTTCACCGGGGTTATATATATTTTCGATCATTAGCAGGCCCAAAAGCTACGCAAGCTGCCTGCAGATTACATTTTTTAAAGACACAACCACCCACCCACACACGCCTACACACACACAAACACATACAAATTGCCTTGTCAAATTCAACAGATAACAGATAATAATAATTCTTGTATTTGACATAGAACCTTATCGCGTCTTTCGAGACTTCTCAAAGCGCTGCACTGAATATACTATAAAGTGCAGTGACTGTATATTTTGTGGGCGAAACGTGGCAGCCAAAAGCGCACAGCAGTGTCCCACAAACAGTAATACACTTCCTCCAGCTCCTCCTTGGCTGAATTTCTCAAACAGTGAGTAAAAAAAAAAAAACCTGCAGCTACTCTTTAATAAATAAAAAGATGTGAAAAAAAAACCTCATAACCTCTCTGTGACACGTTTCAAAGGAAGTCAGAAACCCGGCCCATTCTAGGGCACCAATTACAAGTGTGGAGTCACATTTAGGTTCTTAACAAACATGTGGTTGTTTTTGCTGAAAAGCCCCAGGGATTTTACTGCCTGAGATATATTTGTCAAAGGAGCCAGATTGTGGCTTTCGTCCGTCACCTGGCCCATCAGTCTAACTCTGCACGCTCTGCGCTGCACTTGGACCAGAATAAACTGTTTGAACGGTTTACCCTCCTTGCCTCACTTGCTGAAATCAGGCTGACGATATAATAATAATAATCCTTGCATTTGATATAGCGCTTTTCACGTCGGGAGGACGTCCCAAAGCGCTTCACAGAACACACTGTAAAGTGAATTGACTATATATTTGTGGGCGAACGCGGCAGCCAATTGCGCACAGCAATGTCCCACAAACAGTCGTAGATTGAAAATGACCAATTTTTATTATTGTTTTTGGTTTTGGAGGATTATTATTAGGTGTGTGGAGTAAGGAAACTTGTCCAAGGTTTCGCCCTCTGCCTGGAATTGAACTCAGGTGTCTCGCTTGCAAAGCGAGTGCTCTAACCACTGAGCTACAGGACTCCACTATATCAGAAATGACCAGGGATTTCAATAATAATAATAATAATCCTGGCATTTGATACAGTGCCTTATCACGTCTTCGAGCCGTCTCAAAACGCTTCACAGGATATACTGTAAGGTGGATTGGCTGCGTATTCTGTGGGCGAAACTGGGCAGCCAATTACGCACGGGAGCGTCCCACAAACAGTCGTTTAAAATAAAATACACCACGAGGTGCCAATCCCTGGCCGGGTCAGAGCTGAGCTGAACTGAGCGAAGATGATCTCAGCCAAGGTGGCATTGGGGCAAAACTACAAAAACAGTCACTACACTTGACGGTAATTGCCTGTGAAACCCTTTGAGATGGTTCAACGTGATAACGGCTGTCCTTTGTTTCCGAAGATGGCGTTCACACAATGTGAGCACTCGGGTGGGTGAATTTGTTCACAGTGGGAACAACAAGAACAATTTGCATTTATATAGCGCCCCTCACGCAGGGTAGAGTCCCAGAGCGCTTGACAGTGGCGGAGACTGACAACGCCAGAGGAGAGGGAGAGATGACCGTAAGCACTATCGAAAAGGAATTCTCCAGGTAGGATTTGAAGGTGGGGAGGGAGGAGGCAAGGTGGAGGGATTGAGGGAGAGAGTTCCAGAGTTTCGGGGAGTAGTGGCTTGAAATCGATGGATGTGGGGGAGCAAGGAAAGCTGGGGATCGAACCTGACTCTAAGTTGGCACAGGTTCAGAGAGTCTGAGGGAGAGCCCGGGGAGGTTGAGAAGTTCAGGCCAGAAGGAGAGAAGACGTTGATGTGAGCCAAAGAGTATGGCTTCCGTCTTGACAACATTCAGCTGCAGGAAATTTGCGCTTATCCAAGCCTTGATGTCCGTCAAACAACAACAACAACAACAAGATTCCATTTATAGAGCGCCTTTCACGTCAGGAGGACGTCCCAAGGCGCTGCACAGTTGGGTCAAGCTGACAGGACATCAGTGGACTGGGCGTCGCAGCTGGAAGAGTAGATTTGAGTGTCATCCCGGCATATGTGGAAGTTAACCTCATGTCTGCGGATGAGAAAAAGAAGGAGGCCAAGGATGGAGCTTTGGGGTACCTCGCGGGGACGGAAGGAAATACACAGTGACCACACTCTTCGGTTGCAAACAGGAGCTTAATCCTGGATTAATCTGGTGTCAAGGAATTGCTGAGACCTCACAACTTGCTAACTGCACTGGCAGAAACCAATCCCCCAGAAAGTGATCTGCCAATCAACTAATAACTGGGTTCCTATTTACTGCGAGGTAAACAGAGGCGTGCGGAGTAAGGAAACTTGTCCAACGTTCCGCCCTGCCAAGGAATCGAACCTGGGCCCTCGAATGCTCTAACCACTAAGCTACAGGACTCCTGGTTCAATAATAACGTTCTCTGTTCAATATTCGGCACTGGTGTTCCAAAGCTCTTTACTGATTATTGAGTATGTTATGTGATAATATGTGGTTTCTACATTAGCTGCTATAAGAACATCGACATCAGTGTAACCACAGCCTCAGCTTCCAGCACACAAATTCATAGATTCATAGAATGTTACGGCACAGAAGGAGGCCATTCGGCCCATCGAGTCTGTGCGGCTCTTTGACAGAGCGTCACTCTCACTAACTCCAATCACTAGCTTTCTCCCCATAACTCTGCAAACCCGTCTTCCCCAGGAATTAATGGAACAACACATCCACTGTAACAGTGACTAACAACTGTCATTCCCAATAAAGCAGCTACCCTCAGCCTAAAACGTCCCTATAAACCTGAGGCTTTTCATTAGAATATCTCACAGCTTCTCCGAGACCTCAGTCAGCAACACCACCACCACCACCACATGACATTTACACAGCGTCCTTCATGTCGGGAGGACGTCCCAAGGCACTGGACAGTCAAGGATTTGGACCCGAGCTGGTGTTTGGGATCAGGATGGATGGAGAGCAGGGAGGGTACGTAGGAAGATAACCAAAGGAATGGTTGTGAAGGAAAGTCTTGAGATGGGCCTTGAGCAGCGAGCGGGCAGTGACCGGCGCGAGGATCAAAGTCGACGAAAGGTCAGGGCGAGGTGGGTCTTTCTGGCACCTAAGCCATGATCACCATCCCCTCTCTGCCCCTACCCCCCCTCTGTGCCCATTTTGGCTGCCGCCCCAACCCGAGCTGCTCCTCCTGAAAATGTTCCTGCTCCCACCCCCACACTCCATTACTCTCACTCTTTCATCATGGCTCCAGGCGTTGGTTGTCCCGCTCCAACTGTTCCATCGCTCACTCTCTCCATACCAACCAACATCCATTCCCCATCTCTCATCATGCCCTCTCCAATTCTCCCCCTTCCTCAAACTCAATGGTCATTTTTCCCCTATGACTACAAATCCTCCCGATACCACTCTCTCCTCCATCCCACCCCCCACCCCCATCAGCAAACCTATTGGCATCTCCCTCCAAAATGTCTGCTCCTTCTCCAATAAAGCCCTTACTATCCATGACCTCATCCTGGATGAGCACATCGATATTCTAGGGCTTACAGAAACTTGGCTCCCCCCCCCCCCCCCCCCCCCCCAGTGACCCCGTCCCCCTCGTTGAAGCCCCCCCCCTCTCCTGGCTACACCTTTCACCACAACCCCTGCCACAACCAACATGGTGGCCTTCATTTCCCAAGCTTCCCTTTGTCTATGCCCCTGTTCCTGTTCCTCTGGCTGTTTCTCCTCCTTTGAGCACCTCACCCTCTACCATTCCTCCTCTCTCTCCCTCAAAATTCTGCTAGTTTACTGCCCCCACCCCCACACAAAGCCCCTGGCTCCTTCCTCGCTGATATCTCCTCTCTCTTCTCATCCCTGTCCATCTGCACTGAACAGCTGCTCATAATGGGTTAATAATGATGGTTAATAATGGAGTGATTTCAACCTCCACCTAAACTCCCCTTGCAACACCTCCTTGGATTTCACTGCCCTCCTCTCCTCCCTAAACCTCACCCTTCACATCAACTTGCCGACCCACAATCATGGTCACCCCCTCAACCTTGTCATCACACATGTCCTTGACATTTCCGACCTGGCCATCAGGGACAAGGCCATCTCGGACTACTTTCTCATCTCCCTGTCCTCCCGCATCCCCCTCCCCTCCTCCAAACCCTCCCACCATATTTTTCCACCCCTGGAAAAAGCTTCCCCCTGAGTCCATCACAAATGCCATCTCTTGCTTGGACTTCTTCTCCCTCTGGCCCTCTGCTCACAGCAATCCTGATGTAGCCATCTAGCTGCTGAATGACCATCTCTTCACAACCTTCAATTCCCTGGCTCACCTGAAATCCAGGGCTGTTTCTAAACCCACCATGTTTTACACCATCTCATCACCTCCTCCTCCGTGCAGCCTGTCAAGCCCCCTTTATCCTTACATCAAACGCCAAGTGCAAAGAGGTCCTAGACTTCTTTGCCATAAAGATTTAAAATACCCCCTTGGCTCCTCCAGCCCCATGTCCCCTTCCACCACACCCATACCATCCACACCTTCTCCCTGCACCACGGCTCCTGTCACTCCCCCATCCTTACACTCCTTTGACCCCATTTCTCCCTCCTCCCTCTCAACCACAACCACCCGCATGAAGGTCACCACCTGCTGCCTCGACCCCCTCCCCACCCAGCTGCTGGTCACTCAACTCCCTCTCCGTTACCCCGTGCCTGGCCAAGATGGTCAACCAGTCTCTCTCCTCAGGCTCTGTTCCACTCTGAAAACCCTGAAAACCGCTGTTATCACCCCACTCCTCAAAAAATCCACCTCCACCTCCGCCACATTGCCCGTCTCTGACCATACCTTACTCAAAATGCAGCCGAAACCCTCGTGCGTGTGTTTGTCACCTCCCGCTTGGATTACTCCAACACACTCCTCGCCGGTCTCCCCCGCTCCACCATCCAAAAGATCCACTCATTCAGAACTCTGCCGCCCACTGACCCCGACCAAACTCCGTGCCCACATCTCCCCAGTTCTGGCCCAGGCTCCACTGGCTCCCCATCACCGAACAGATCGACTTCAAGATCCTCACTCTCGCGTTCAAATCCCTTCGCTCTCTGGCACCTCTCGACCTCTCCGACCTCCTCACTCCCCAATCCACCACCGGTGCCTCCGCTCGACTTGCACTGTCCTCCTGCTCGTCTCTTGTACCCTCCGCCCCACCATCGGAGGTTGCGCTTTCAGCACCGAAACTCTGGAACACTCTCCCTCAACCCCTCCGCCTCGCCCCCTCTCTCAAGTCCCGCCTGAAAACCTTCCTTTACAACCGTGCTTACGGTCACCTCCCCCCAGACCTCGCCCGAGCTGACCTGTGCCCCAAGCTGAGTGTAAATGAACGAGAGACTGTAACTCACTGGGTTGCTCTTAAGCTTCGTAAATCCCGATCAGCGAGTGCAGAGACAGAGACCAGGGAGATCCCCTCAAAGGCCGTCTGCCTGGGGAGCACTGCAATCAGCTGCCGCTTGGTTTGTGGCCTGTACGCAGACTGAGACTTCCTGCGATCAATCCCTCTTGTTTGTCTTTCAGTCTACGTTTTTTTTTAAATTAATCAATAAAGCGGCCATCAACGGCCGACCTGATCAATTCTAGGTTACAAACAGATTATAAATAACATTGCGTGTATGGAGTGGGCATGAGGTGATGCAGACCGTCTCCCTCTCTCTAATACAGCCCAGTAATTAATCCAACTCAGATGGAGCTTAGCGCACTCGCCTCGCAAGCACCCGGGTTTGATTGTGGTGCAGAGTGAAACCTTAAGCTGGTTTCCACATGTCTCTGTTTACCTAGCGGTAAGTAGGAACCCGACAACTGGCGGATCGCTTTCCGGGGGCAATAAACCCTCGAAAAAGAAAAAAAAAAAAGTGCGGTCACTCAATCCGCGACTGTTTTTGGGACACTGCTCTGCGCAATTGGCTGCCGCGTTTCGCCCACAAACGACACAGTCAAATTGCGTTTCGACATTATGTTCTGTGAAGCGCTTTGAGACATCGCAACAATGTGAGAAGACGTTAAATTACACGCAAAGATTATTATTGCAGATTGGAAACTCACCATGTGAGAAATCGTGGGCCTGAATGCTGTCTGATTGTCTGTGGTGCCGGCTGAGGATGTGTGGCGTGGCGAGGTCACCACACGCTCTGCCTCCACCCTCAAACGCCTCTCGTTAAAACTGCCAACAAAACACACAAACACAATTTTTTGCCAAAAAAACAGGACTGAGAAAGTCTCTTCGTTTCATTCTGATCAGCAGTGTGACTTGTGTCCTTGTGCTGAGCAGGCAGCAGAGGGCAGGCAGGGACTTGCAATGCTCGTCACCGACTCTCGTGCAGTTTGCTCTTAGTCACGACCCACATTAAACTTCCTCCCAGGATCGCCCACCCACATACCCACCCGCCCGCACCACCTCCACACACACACCCCCCCACACACACACACAGCGCATCGTTAAAAGTTATTCAGTCAACGTGTCTGCGCTGGTGCTGCCTCCCTTGCCTGAGAATCATTTACTCTCCGTTTCCTTCCACTTTCCCCATTCGCTTTAATATTATTTATTCCTCCAGTGTGTGGATACTGGATAACTAAGGAAATTGGGATTAAAGTAAAACAGAAAAAGGAGGCTTGTGGTAAATGTCAGGTCCAAAATGCAGAAGATAATCAAATAGAACATAGAAAGTACAGTGGAGAACTGAGAAATGAAATAAAAGGAGCAAAGAGATTGTATGAGAAGAGATTAGCTGCTAACATAAAAGGGAAGCCTAAGGTATTTTATAAGCATATAAAGAATAAAAGGTTAGTCAAAGGTAGGGTGGGTCCAATTAGGGACCAAAGAGGAAGTCTTCTTGTGGAGGCCGACGTACTGAATGAGGACTTTGTATCTGTCTTCACAAAAAAGGATGCAGCCAATGCCACAATATCGTAGAGGAGAGTAGAGAAATTGGATAAGATAAGAATAAATCGAGAGGAAGTACTAAAAAGGTTGTCGGTGCTCAAGGTAGATAAGTCACCCGGTCCGGACGGGATGCATCCTAGGTTATTGAGGGAAGTAAGGGTGGAAATAATGGAGGCTGTGGCCACAATCTTTCAATCCTCATTGGATACCGGGGTGATGCCAGAGGACTGGAGAGTTGCAAATGTTACTCTCCTGTACAAAAAGGGGCAGAAGGATAAACCTGAGAACTACAGGCCGGTCAGCCTAACGTCAGTAGTGGGGAAACTTCTGGAGACTATAATCCGGGACAAAATAAATTTTCTCTTAGAAAAATATGGGTTAATAAAGGACACGGATTTGTTAAAGGCAAATCATGCCAAACAAAGCTGATAAGAGTATTTTAATGAAGTAACGGTGAGGGAGGATGAAGGTAGTGCAGTTAATGTAGTTGATGCGGTTGATCAGGGCTATGGGGAGAGAGCGGGGGAGTGGGGTTGATCGGGGCTATGGGGAGAGAGCGGGGGAGTGGGGTTGATCGGGGCTATGGGGAGAGCGCAGGGGGCGGTGGGGTTGATCGGGCTATGGGGAGAGCGCGGGGGGGGTGGGGTTGATCGGGGCTATGGGAGAGAGCGGGGGAGTGGGGTTGATCGGGGCTATGGGGAGAGAGCGGGGGGGTGGGGTTGATCAGGGCTATGGGGAGAGAGCGGGGGGAGTGGGGTTGATCGGGGCTATGGGGAGAGAGCGGGGGAGTGGGGTTGATCAGGGCTATGGGGAGAGAGCGGGGGAGTGTTGATCAGGGCTATGGGGAGAGAGCGGGGGGAGTGGGGTTGATTTGGAAGCTCTTCTCAAAGAGCCGCACAGACACGATGGGCCGAATGGCCGCCTTCCGCGCTGTGTAATTCTACGATTCTATGATGTGTCGGTTTCTGGGGATAATGATCATTGTTATTAAATAATAATAGTGACCCAATGGTCAACTTTAATGACATCATGAGGTTGAATTGGGGGCAAAAAGGCCAGAGTCCCCCTCCCCCCCACCACTCCCCCCCCACCACACTCCCCACTACCCCCCCGATGGGGATTGCCAGACCACCAAGGTGTGCGCAGGTAAGTGGGAACATTGGCTGCTGCAGTCACACCAGAAAACCAAAAGGTCTATGATGTCTGCTTCAGTGTTGCCGCAGAGCTCTCGCTTCTAACCCACCTCACTGACGTGTTCAACAAAATGGGACAGGACGCTGCGCTCTCAGTCTAGGCTGACTCTTTCAGGATAGTTCTGGAGGGAAGCACCGGATTGTCAGAGGTCCCTTTAAGAGCAATGGCCAATTTGAGAAGAAACAATGAAATAGAAGCAGGAAGTATGAAAGGGACGCTGGGAAGGGACGCGAGTGTGTCTTGGTTATGGTTGGAATGTTGTGAGTTAATAATAAAGTAACTACCTGGCACACTTGTGCTTTCGATTGAGAATTATTACACTGACTTCCTGCAGATGGTCAGGTTTGCGTCCGTCTGTTCACGGATGCTAAAGATCCCACGGCCCTATTCGAAAAGAGAAGAGAATTTCTCCTATTGTCCTGGCCAACAGATACATTGGTCATTCACTTCATGGCTGTTTGCAAGACCATTGCTGTGTGTAAATTGGTTGAACTGAAGGGAACTTTAATGTCTTGACGTCCTGTCAACAGATGCCCTTGAGGTCAAACCTGAAGAAAGTTTAGGAAATCACGCTGATAGAAAGCCAGCTGACTCTCTTCAATCCATTCCACTCAGTGACAACACAGCCATCGCTTCAACAGAGCCAGAAAATGAGGACAAAACGAATCCGCAGCAGCCCATCAAAAGGTCTCAGCGGCTACAGATCAAACGTGAGAGGCAACACAAGTCTTCGGAGAAGAAAGTGCAGCAGATTGGCTCGAAACGTCAACCCAAAGTGAGCAGAGAGGCGAGCACTGAGAAACCGCAGTGTCCAACCAAATCTCTCTCCAAACAGGACAATGCAGATAGACTGGTTTCGGGTCAGATACAAGATGGCAAGCTCACAAGATTGAAGAGCAACAGTCAACGTGGAGTTGGCAAAAGGACCTTGCGGACATCGGCATCTAACAACCTCCGCGGGTCTTCATCAGTGAAACGAGCCCGGATGATCCACACTGGGCTGGGATCTCCCAATGACAGCAAGCAGGGGCTGAAGCAGGACCGGAGGCCATGCAAACCATCTGGAGACCATCAGGACGAGGCTAAAGAGAGAGCAACATGTCACACGCAAAGTGAGGAGCCGAAGTCTTGCGAAAATCAAGGAGTAGAAGAGAAAGCAAATGGAGAGCTGGCAAAACCTGTTATGGAAGAGGTGGTTACATCTGCGGAGAATGGACAGCCCGCTCAAGCTAAGAGCAAAGCCACACCCAACGGCAGCTCTGCTGGAAGTAAGAGGTTCTGCAGGCGGAACAGCTCCCAGATTGACCCAAGGGAGAGGAGGTACCGGTGTGACAGCTGTGGGAAAGGCTTCATCCAACTGTGTCACCTGAAGAAGCACCAATTCATCCACACCGGCCACAAGCCATTCCTGTGCAACGAGTGTGGCAAGACCTATAGCTCTGAGGAGAGCTTTAAAGGTAAGGCTGTTGGTTGGCTGGACGTTAGAGATTATAACTAGCTTCGGATGAGATTTTAAACCGTTTAGACCTCTGAGACAGTAGGTTGTGGGTTGATAATAATCCCTCAAGAAAAAAATATAATAATACTAATAACTTGGTCACTCAATCCACAACGGTTTGTGGGATGCTGCTGTGCGCAATTGAGACGTCTAGAAGACGTGAAAAAGCGCTATATCAAATGCAAGGATTATTATTATGTCGGGACTTGGAATCACATAGTCTAAGCTGACGATCCAGTGCAGTGCTGTATTGTCGGAAGTACTGTCCTTCGGATCACAATTGTCTGCTGTATTTTGCCCACAAAATATACAGTCAATTCACTTTACAGTATATTCTTTGAAGTGCTTTGAGACATCTCGGAAGACGTAATAAGGTACGATATCTAATGCAAGGATTATTATTATTCGGAAAAGGGGAAGTCAGTTTTGTCTAATATATAGTTTAATGTCTCATCTGAAGGACGGCACTTCCACAGTACTTGGGTAGGGAGTCAGCCTAGATTGTGAGCTAAATGCCCGTCAAAATACTGTCAATTCACTTGACAGCGTATTCTGTGAAGCGCTTTGAAATGTCTCAAAGGCGTGATAAGGCGCTGTATCAAATGCAGGGATTATTATTATTCATTACAATCTTCTGACCTGGAGCTGACTGAGCCGGACACTGGATCGCACAGGTGATGTTCGATGCTGGTTCGATGCTCTCCACTCCGATCCTTCTCATCTTTAATATTTGTTTCTTGTCAAAAGCTAACGCACTGCCCTTTTAAACACATTACGTTGTTAGCTTAGATACCCAATCCAACAGATAAAATTGGTCATTCACTTCACGGCTGTTTTAAGATGTTGCTGAGCGCAAATTGGCTGCCGTGTTCGTTCACAAAATACACAATCACTGCACTTCACAGCGATTCCCTGTGAAGCGCTTTAAGATATTACAGACGTAGTAGAAACATAGGAACAGGAGTAGGCCATTCAACCCCTGTGAAGGGCTTTTGATGTTAAAAAGGCGCAGTGGCGGGAAGCTGGTTGTTGTTGACCGTGTGATGGGAATGTAACCACGAGCGGTGCTCTCTGTGCCACAGCCCACCAGATGCTGCACCGTGGCGAGCGGCCCTTCAAGTGCCAACAGTGTGACAAGGCCTATGCCATGAAGCGGGACCTGCGGGAGCACGAGCGAGTGCACTCGGGGCAGCGGCCGTTCGTGTGCGGAGAGTGCGGCAAGTCATTCGCCCGCCCGCCCTCGCTCCGCGTCCACCGCAAGCTGCACCGGCTCAAGGCG